TAGGCTCCGGCCTGCCCGCGACCCTCGTGAGGATAAATCAGATGAGAAAATGGATGGCTGGAGAAGTATTGGCTGAGGGATTGATGAGTATACTTTTCCTACCCCTAATTGATTCATGCTGTTGTCGTGGATCTATTCAGTGGGAAAGGAAGGAAACACAGCAGGGTGAGACTCACAGAGCGCAAAGGGGTCGACCGGAAAGATCAAGGAATTGATAGAAGGCAACAGGCATTCTTCTGATTCACACAAGAAGAATTGGACTGGACCGCAGAGGTCAGTCTTGCTGTGAGGCAGCAGGTGGACACGAGCTTCTTCCTTTGCTTTTGCGATATTGAGAATCATAAGAGCAGCGGTGTGGCGCCATGAAAGGCTCCAGCGCATCGCACCACTTCACAGTCCACGAACAAACAAGTACATTTCAAACGGAGGCACTTTTCACCATGTTGCTCCGGCATGTCAAATGGCTTTGCTCTCTTTTTAACAATCCCCTGATACATTAACCCTTTCAGGGACAGCGGTTACTACAGTGGACATCTTATCATGTTAACAGGTTACAGGGTGCATGAAAGGGTTAATATATAAAAGTAAAATATTTATTTATTTATTGCGGCATGTATTCACTGTGGTTTTCTAAACAGCAAACAGGTTGATCAACCCTTGTAGTCCTCGAAAAAATAGTCAGTCATTTCTACTCCTCGTGCTTTTTAAGTTTCCCGTCAGAATTGATGCTCCAGACATCCGAGACATGCCGTGGTTACTTTCTGTAAATTGCTCACCGCTCCTCGTATTTTTCCATTTGGCAACGACGTCTCGGTGACTGAATCCGATGTTATTTTGCTCATGATTAAGATTGCCAATGGGTGGTGGCGGGTGGGGGTGTGTGTTGAGGGGTAGTGCGGGGGTGTCTAGAGCTATGTAAAGCATTGACTTAAATGACTTTTTCAGACTCAATACACATGGGGGGTGGGGGGCAGATTAAGGTAAACCAGTCAAATGTGGGAATGAAGAGAAAAGCAATTGACCCACACTGCAGGTGAGATTAAACATCTCAAGTGAAGTTACAATACTTCCACACCTTTTTCTTAGTATTCAAATATACAAAATTATCAAGATCAGCTTTCCATACCACCATGATAATCCTAGACTCCCTGTGCCATACCAGCTAATGGTCACTCTGAAATGTTAATTGATTTTTTTTGGTTTTTGATATACTTACATGACCAATACACATGCATATATTTTGAATGATTTTTCTTTTGGTGACCCGTTCCAATGGCCCACCACTCAACAGCAGTTCCCTCCCGGCGAGATGCTGCCACATCGCCGCTTCACAGTGGCACAACACGCTCAGTGGTTAATGAGCTGTCTGCTTTCATCTCGCATTTTCACTTAGAGCTCAAGAGTTGAGTTCATTTTGCATCTGACGAAGGGGGGGGGGATGCCCTTTTTGCACTCTTTGTTGCAACGCAAGGATGCGACAACGTGGTCTCGTGTAAATTGCAATTGTGTTAAACCCACAAAGCATCGTTAGCGCTTTGAGAAAGATTGAGCTTTGCAGCCAATTAATTCTTGAACTATAAGATGTGCCTTTTAACCTCTCCTGTACTGCACTAAAGCACATTTTGTGTTTAGGGGGACACTAGCTGCCAGGTAAATGGTAGCTTTCCATTTTGTATATTAATGTATAACATTGCAAATACCCCACCTGTCTATTCGAAGACATCATTTTGGCAACAGTGGCAACCATCCACTGTTTTTTTTTTTTTTAAGAGAGCTGCAGTTATTATCCCTGAAATGTATTTTGTTTACGTTACTTCTCATGAGAAATATTGTTTTAAATTTCGTATGATGAAGTTAGTCAGCCTCTCTGGAAGCTATTAATCACGAAAACTGAGGTGCCGCTGTGTGTTATTGAGATTGTTTCACCTTGTTTCGGCACTGTTATTATTTCAAAAGGTGTTTTATGCGATTGGCACATAGATTTGGGGGAGAGATTTTAGTGGTCTGGCTTTGAGAAGAATTCGCCGAGCTGCTAATTAGCTGTCAGATAAACGCCGAAGAGCGGAACATGACATGCCAGCCTTGTCTCACGATGGTCTGAAGGAAGGTGGAGGATAAGAAGGCTGATGTGGACTATTGAGAGGCGCGGTAAGGGGAAAAAGACTGCGGAATCTGTTGCCTTGCCAACCAAGCCCCTCGGAGCGTGAGGGTTAAATGTAAACGATTCTGTGGCAGTGCAAATATAGGTTGCCATCTGTTTTCGTAACACTTACTTTGTTACAAATTTTCGAACATGCAAAGAACTCGCGTGTAGGTGTTTTCCATTAGAACCCTCCGCAAAAAGTTAATTTGATTTTTAATATGAAAGTAATGAGTGGGTTTTATCATTCTGAAAATGGAAAAAAATATATTGCAACTCCAGTTCGGAGGATTTTTTTTTCTTTCAAATCAAGCATTCCGATGGAAATGGTTTAAGTTCTGTGGTCAGTTTGTAAATACATTTTCTAACACGTAATCTCCAGCGGCGCCGCCAGGGATATGCGATGGCAAGCAAACAGCAAAGTTGTTGCTTAGGAACAGTAAGAAATAACCCAAAGTTTTGCTAAACCATGTGATCTAATCTCCCTGAGACATGTTTGTGCGTGCATGTGTGTGTGTTGTGGAGGGTGGGGTTGGCAGAATCAAGTTTTGCAGAGGTTGGTTTCTAGGCAACTGTTTTGTTTTTAGATTTGTGCAAAGCTTGTTTGTTTTTCTGTGTCCTTATTGTCACTAATTTCTCTTCTTTGAGGTATTGTTAACTTGCTCTTGGTGTGTGGAGATTATTTGCGTAATAAATGTGCTCCGACTTTTCCAGTAACATTGATCGGTGGCAGTTTTTTTTTTTCAAATAGATTTATAATTTTCCAGGTGTTTGTTTGGGATTTTGGTGTATCTAATCGAGGTGCAAGTAGACATGCACATGTGTCTGGTGGACATCATGGTATTTCATTCATAAATATGACACCACCAGCGTGGGAGAATTCTTCTGAATCATTGTAAAAATCAATTCATTGACCGAATTATAATCATTACCATCTTATATTTTTAGAATTATAACCGACTACATCATTCGAAAGTTTACGTACCAATCCATCGTTTGCATTTTATTCTATTGACAATGTGAATGTTTTTGTTAGAATGTAAGCAACAGACCAGTGTGTACAGTAACATACTGTAGGACTTTCTTTTGCTTTCATTGAAGCATTGAAATAAACTTGTCGAGAATGTTCTAATTTAGTGAGGTGAGAAAAAGAGGGATAGGTCTGCAGCCACCAACATGTCTAAAGAGACATATGCACATTCATACAGTATGTAAACAGCTGTATGAAGTGTCTTAATCTTTATTATCTTCGGGATATGTTTCAACCCATAGGAAACGCTTGGACAAAGCAGCCATCTTTCTTCCAGTTGGACTGCGCCATCTGTTGGTCACGAGTTAGAACTACGGCCTTCAAAACAACCATAATTCGACATTTATTTTAATAAATTTTTAAAAAAACATTTACTTAGGCCATTAGCAACGGAACATCATTTGTTTTTTCTTGTTTTTATAGCATCACACACATTTCACATGCGCGGTACTCGGTCGCTGGGTGGGGCTAATAAATGACGTAACAACGGTCGTTCGTGTCATCAGCATGTGGTTAGTGCGAACGCCTTCCGTGTTGTTAGCTTTGCTGGGAAGCAGAGGAGTGATCCGTGCAATGGTAAAACATTTTATCCCAATCCTGTAAACATGCAAATTTGATGTGATTCAAGCGATTTGTTTTGCCACCATTTCCGGTGCGCTTATAACGACGTGTAAGAAATGCTGCTATTTATAAAAGGCGGTGTAACCAAAAAATAGGTCCGACGTTGTGACAGTATTCGGGTCAGGTTTGTGTAATGCTGGCGTCGGCATTTGTGGGCTTGTTTTGCTAAATTGCCCTGTACAGTCACTGTCAGTGTTTCTGAGAAAAAGCACATACAGTACTTTCTTTATTTTACATGAAGAAAATCACAGAGCACATCACCTAACAAAAATGTCACAAGAAGTGGACGCACAGGCGAGGTATCCCTTATGGCTCCATAATCTACAGATAAAAAAATCACATCTAAAAAGAAACTCTGAAAAAGGATTACATTGTGGGGAGAAATTAGTGATTACATGTCATGTGGTTCGATTAAATGTTATTTCAGAATTAAGAGAAGTGATTCTTGAGCAAGCTGTCCATGTTGTCTCTTTGGTCTATTTCCTGATTGCACAACTTGACTTATGCTTCCTCACCTTTATACAGTGTGCCCAAATGAAAGACTGGCAAAGTGCCAAGTCCATCTATGAATTCTCTGCCAAGGATATTGATGGAAATGAAGTGTCTCTAGAAAAATACAGGTAAGACGTCGTTGCGTATGATCTAATCCAGGGGTGTCAAACATACGGCCCGCGGGCCGGATCCGGCCCGCAAAGGAGTTTAATCCGGCCCGCGAGATGATTATGTAAAGCATCGGTGTCAAACATACGGCCCGCGGGCCGGAACCGACCCGCAAGTAGGTTCAATCAGGCCCGCAGGATAATGTAAAAGTGAAAAAAATGCATTAAAGACACAGAATTAATATTTTTAATCAGGTGCAATTCATTGAGTATCCGCAAGGGGACACTGTTTTGATCAGAGAAGAAGACAACAGCAGCCTCAGTCTGTCACTGAGACAGACCCATGACAGCAGACGCTATCAATAGCACTCTCACATTTACACATTTAATAGCACTCTCCTTAGTTTGTAAGGTGTAGGCAGGGATTACATTTAGATTTTATATGCACGTGTAAATGCTTTAAAACGTGCTTTCTTTATGAATCTTGTTTAATCTTAAAGTGCATTACTATATTCTTCAATACCAATTACTTGTTAAAGTTTGTACAATCAGTGGGATCAGTTGCAATGCATATATGTGAATGATAAAAGTAAATTGCACATTTGTCGAAGGAAATGTAAGGTGCTTCATGAAATGTTTTGTAAAAGATATGTTCATTAAATTTCAACATTTTCCTAATGTTCTTGTGCTTCTTTATACCAAAACAAAGGAAAGACATATTGTTTTGGTTATTTATAGCAAAGTATTGTATCATTTTAATGGTCCGGCCCACTTGACATCTACCGAGGCCGTATGTGGCCCACCATGTGAAATGAGTTTGACACCCCTGATCTAATCTATTGCAGTGATCCCCAACCTTTTTTTTCACCACAGACCGGTTCAGACAAGTTCATGCTTTTCGCACACTGGCAACCATTCACAAACTTTAGAGAGTACTGTACTTCACAATTTTATGAACACCTGAAGTACATGTTTTATCTAAATTAAAAAGATACTGAACAGAGAAGATTACTCTTTAAACATTATTTACTCAGCAGTACAATAAATGTGGAACAACATAAAATAACACGGTGAATTACTAAAAAGTGACTCCTAAGGAATAATGAATAAGACCTAAAATGTGAACATTATAATCTTGAAGTTGTGATTCTATTAACGGCGTTAACATCATCGCTAGTTGCAAATGTGCATAATCAAAAGATGATTGAGAACTGCTCTGGTCCGGTGGACGCACGGCTTGTTAGTAGGTCCTGAGCACGGATTAAAAAAAAAACGGGTAACGTACTCAGAGCTGTTTCCAATATTTTTATATGTGCCGAGCTCTATGAGGTGGCCAAATATTAGGAATGCCTGTAACTATACAGTATTACAAATGCGATTCTAAAATGCTAATAATAAAGTCTACATGTAACGTAGTATATTGCTGTCTGTTTCTGTGACAGGGGCTATGTGTGCATCATTGTAAACGTTGCCTCCAAATGAGGAAAGACCAGAGTAAACTACACTCAGCTTGCGGAAATGCACGCTTCCCTGGCTGAGAAGGGTTTACGCATCCTGGGATTCCCATGTAATCAGTTTGGAGGACAGGTAACTGAGCCCGGGATTGGTTTGCTATGGTTCATTGGTCGTTTGTTTCATCAGTATGGGATTGTCAAAGCTCGAAATAATGTTTTTTATTTTTGAAATGCAGTTTTGCTCATCAACTACGTACTCAGTTTTGACCAAGAATTTTACATTTTGGTTCATCCTTCATATTTAATGAATTTACCGTTATACTTGGTAGGATTTTTTTGTAAGAATATCTTTTACTGTATACAGTACTTGTAGTATTTGGCGCAGCACCGGTCACAACTTGTAATATATTGTATGTTTATTCCTGTTGATGGTCTATAGGAGCCGGGAACTGAGGCGGAGATTAAAGAGTTTGCTAAAGGTTTCAATGCAGACTTCGACCTCTTCAGTAAAATTGATGTGAATGGAGACAACGCTCATCCTCTTTGGAAGTGGATGAAAGCGCAGCCGAAGGGAAAGGGAACATTTGGAAAGTATGTTTGCTATCAAACGAATGTCTGAGTGTATCAATCATTCGTGATCAAAGAGTTGATACTGTCTTCTCTCTTGAAACGACTGACGTTAACATGTTTACACGTTTTTAATCTGATCTTTGCATCGCTGAAAATGAAAATATAAAACGGATTCCCCAAACCCCCCACCCCCATGTTTTCACAGTAACATCAAATGGAACTTCACAAAGGTAAGTTGCTTATCTAAAGCTTTTTTTTTTTCTTCTAATCAAGCCCGCTACTGTGACACCACATTTATTTAAATTGCTTGACAGTTTCTTATCAACAAAGAGGGACAAGTGGTGAAGCGCTACGGTCCAACAGACGATCCCGTCGTAAGTGTCACTGATTGTTGTTTTGAACAGTGTCACTGTTTAGCATTTTTTTCAATCCACATTATTTATTTATTATTATTTTTGCAGGTGGTGGAAAAGGATCTGCCTTCGTACTTGTAATACAACTATCTCCGATGTGTATGACCGCTTGTGGATCTCCCATATGGACTTGAGGTTGTTGGTGTATGGGTGTCTGGACCAATGACGGCTTGCCCGTGAACCCGATTATTGGGATGGGCAGGTCTGATGACTCAGCGTGCAGCTCTCCTCCAGACTTGCCACTACACCACCCTACAAGACCATATAAATAGAGATTTGTTAGTGATCTAACCTGAGGAAGATTTTTTTTCGAAATTACAAGAATTTAAGCAGCCATTCCTTCTATGTAATCAGTGATCTGTGGTGTTTAGGATTTTGTGTACAGTACTTTCATTATGCCAGCTGCCCATCAAAAGCAGAAGATACCGTCATCCACTGACATCCCCAAGCTACTGACTATGGCTGCACTGAACCAAAAAGGCGTTGTTGGAATCGCGTTTCAAATTAATGCTTGTGCTTTGCATTCACGTGCTTGTTAGAATTATGGGGTCATGGCCTTTAGGGCTTAACATTTATCTGTACTTATCAAGTAAAAAAGATGCCGAATCTGCTGTAATTGTTGCTGTATAATATTAGAGTTACTTTGCAGAGAATTAAAAAGTCAAAACATGAATTATGTTTTCTCATCGACTGCACAGTTATTGCCTCAGTCTGAGAATTTCAGAAGTACACATAATGGAAACGATCCAATTAGAAAATTGGAGATAAGATTTTCTTGATTATTTTGCAGTCGTGTCCTGGAAATTCAGTAAACTAGAACATGGTAGCCATCAGGAAGTGGTGTGTTTGAATCTTTGATTATATAAATTCTGCATTTCTTGACTCTGTGTATTGAATTTTGTCTTTGAGGTCAGTGCAGGCAGAGCCATCTATTGGTAATACGTTTTTTTTCCCCCTACCATGTGTTGCAAATTATAGCTAGGACGCTTCCAGATAAAATTTCACCTGTTGCTGAACAGAACCCTTGATATTACTGGGAAACATCTTTGATTAAAAAAAAAACGAAAAAAATGTTTGCCAGTTTTCTGAGGGAGAGGCGCCTGGTCTTTAACCAAAGGTAAGAATGTTTTTCATTAAAATGAGACTTTCCAACAAATTCAAATTAAAAACTAGATTTTGAAAACGATGAGCAGGAATACAACCATTTTAAGTTGAGTGTAAACTAAATACAATCAAAATGGTTTCTCTCTGTTTGCTCGCATCTTACTCGTATTCTGGAAAGGTAAAAAAACAAACTTAGCTGAAAGCGTTTTTTTTCCGCAGAGGATAATTTTTGAATGCCTTAAGGGTTGTTTTTTTAAAGCTATTAAAGAACGAGCCTATTTTGATCAAGCAGGCGGCAATTACATATTTGTTTTCAAACAGGGAGTAAAAGTAAAAAGTAGAGCCAGAAAAAAACATTACTGATGCGCAGTAACGAACTATTTGTACTTCGTTACCTTCCACCGGTGGCGAGAAATATACTTAGGATAGAGAGGTTGTATTGGATAAAAGTGTAAGTGTTCCTAATTTCATTTTAAGTCGTCCATAAGCACATTTAATTGTCTCAGCTTTAGATTTTAACATTGTGCTTGTATGCGGTTTGTCGTGTTCGCGTGAAATTATGACGTCGTGATTAGACTGAAGCTGGAGCTGTAACGTCGCTGCACGAGCATCGGTGGCGAGTCAAGTGACGCGAAACGAGACGGCTGAAACGATGATATTTCATTTATCCTCCCGGCTACTAGTTCGCTATTACTGAACCACTTTGAATGTCCATTCTCAAAGTTATGTAGGCTGCAGTCCCAACGACGGCAATGTGATGGTCTTTCTCCGACCGCCGCATCCGGCTCGGCTGCCGTCATGGAGCTGGACCAAGTGACTGCGGAACCTGGCCGGGGAAATGAGGAGGAAGCTGGGCTCGTTTTGCATCTGGACCTCGCTGAGACAGGTGTGGATTTATACGTTTCATGTGTTTGTTTGGAAACACTTCCTATTTACCAAACATTACCCCATATACAGATGTGATATCGCCATTTTGAAGTGCTTTAATGTGTAGTATGATGGAAGGGCTATCTATAATTCTGGTTCTGAAATAACACATTTGATGAAATTACCTTTGCTTGTTTAGTTATTATTATTAATATGATGACACTGAATGATTTCTGATTCAATGTCATCATAACCTTTTGAGACTTAAAAAGTTAAGACTTTGCAGTGAACATCATATTCGTTATAGTAAGGAGGTCAGGGGTCCCCAAACGTTTTCCACCAAGTACTAACCGAAAAAACACGCTTTCTAAGTCTCACCATGATGGCTCACGTTAAAATAGCAGAGTAAACCGAAGTGTTCACCCCCGCTCCCCAAAAGGGCAGTTTCTATTTCTAAAAAGTCTAGCTAAAACTGTTTATTAATGGAAACCACTGTAACATTATTTACAGGCTGAACATTAACACTACTTAAATACTGTAAAGAAAATGTACACAAATGTGAAATATATGTTGCACCGCAGTTCAAATGTCACGTTTTTTTTTCAAACAAGCAGACGAAATGCAGATCTATTAACACACTGTACGGAAAAGTTAAATACAACTGAACTGTACTTAAAGGAGAGGTCAAGTCAAAAATGGTCTTGACAATAATTTGTTCTATGCAGCCCCACTAGTTGAAACACAGTATCCTGATTAATATTTTGTTTGCGAAATATGAAGTAACCAGAAAACTCCACCTGTTTTGATCTATTTCAAGAGGCGGCCATTTTGCAACTTGCCGGTGACTAAACATGACGTTGATAAAGTGTGTAATTAAGAGAGAATGCCAATTTGATGTAGTGAAGATGTTCAAATGAACAATCCACTAGATTGTTAGATAAAGGCATATCACAAGTTCAGTCACAGCTGGTGTTCTATTGCAAAATGGCCCTAAGTGGCTTCTCCCCATTGGCTTTTTAGGATATTGTCACCAAAGACTTGAAAGCTAGGAATAAAACTGCCAGAGGGTAACAGATGTAGATGGCACTAAATGTATTTGAAATGTTTGTGTGGATACAAGAACATGAAACCTGCTCTTGACATCTCCTCACAGAATAGAATTCCTCAGCCTCTCCTCATCTTTGCGTGTCTTTTTCCTTCTCCCTGCCAGATCTGATAAGTGCATTACGTAATGCGACATGGAATTATAACCTAAACCGCACGCGCTAATCCCCTGTTGATATGTGTTCCAAGAACCGCTGCAGACATTGAAGCGGAAATAATAAAATGGCAGCTTTATGATGTTTATGTGCAAACATAAATTAAGAGTTACACCACAGTATTCAGTGTGCCTGATATAATATGATTTTACAATTATCAGTTTCCAAATGAACTTCCGATACTAAATGGGTTAAAATGAGATGGTCAAAACAGCCCCCTCATGATAAATTTCGCTTTGTGTTTTGCTTTTTCCTCATGACATAAAATTCTTAACCCTAATCCTCCGTGTTGTGCGTGTGCCTGCGCGCTTCTGCCCCATCTTAATCCCCATTGTTATGCTTGACAACCCTATTCTCAGGATTAATCCGCAGGTTTGGATGTCTGGGTGCGTCGCTATAAATAGAATTGTACTTTTCAATACTTCAATTAGCCTCGGATTAGATAGTTCAAACACAGGCAACATTTTGGTGTCTAATTAGAGCAATGTAATTATTGTTCGACAAATGTATTGTGCATGCATTTTCTATTTGTTGTATCCATCATCCATGACTTGTTTTATACCAGAGTCAATATTTATTATCTTAATTTACTTATAATGTAATTTCGTGATAACGATACCAGCCAGAAGTGTACAGTATCTTATTCGCCTTCATGGAGGCGATGACTCATGCCGTGTTGACGGCGGATGCTAAGTGAAGTTGTGGCTCTGCATCGTGTTTAGCCATGCTAGCTAGCCTCCTGTAGCTAGCAGGGAGCGGTGGCAGTGCGGTATAGCGATCATCAAGCATTCAATGATCGTAAGAGCGAAAAGCAGGGAGGTTGAGTGACTGTGCAATTTGGACGCACAAGGTTTGATTGATTTTTTTTTTTTCTCCAGATACTGCAGTACAACGTAAGGATGGCAAACCAAAGAGGACAAAAATATCTACACATGTAAAATCCACCTTTATTCGATTAATCGATGTGATAATCGGTAGAATACGTAATTCTAAAATTATCCAATAACCGTGGCCCTACAAGCAATTAAAAAGTCTTATTTTCCATGGTCTGTCCTTTTTAATGAACACATTTGTATGTGTTTTTGATCTTGAGCAGGAGCTGACTTTTTGGCATTGTTTGCATTTGCATATCCACAAATATTATTACATCATGCAGCAACATCCGCTACAAATGCTTAGCTTCAACATGTCTTAAAAATTCAGTATCCTTATTCTGTACTTAACCTTCACCCTGGCATGGCCTAAAAAAAAGAAATGTAGCATGGCAACACAAACCATGCTGTTTGTTGTACTTCAAAGTAGATTAAACCGTTTAGTATCCCTTTGACTTCCTCCATTGCTGCTCTCTTTGCATTCGATTGCCATGCAACCAAGTAGCAAAAGCGCTATTCCTTGTCGGCTGGACAGACGTCTCCTAATCCCCGTGTGCGGTTGGTTAGCAGTGTGATCTTCAGACGTCAGCCAATGGGAGGACTCAGATTAAGGAGGAAGTCAGTCCAAATAGAGGTTTTACCACCTCAGGACCAATGCGGTTCTTGCAAGAATAGAGTTAAGAGTGTCAACTGCTCTGGTCTGCTTAGTTTTTCCTTGGCATTTGCCTGTTTGGGAACGTAAACACAAAACCCTTCTGCCGGTGAGTTAAGTAATGATTTACGATCAATTAGGTTGATGAAAGTTGTATTTCTGAATACGGAGCAATATCTCTAACCCTGTGTACACGAGAGGAAAGATGATTATGATTATTTTTTTTTTTAGCTGTTAGAAGTATATTCATCAAGAGTTAATTATTACCGGTAGGTAGCAAATTCCCTCCGAATTTTATCATATTTTTTTTTATCCTCCAAAGAAATGTTGCAAAATTCCACACTTCCAACTGTAGACCTTTTCTATTCCAGCATGGCTAGAAAACTGGGACTCGGGCCCTCTCATTCAACGCCATTGACCTTCGACCTAATGACCTGAATAAATGGACAAAAATTCACCAAAGACACGTCATCATTTAGATTTTTATTTATTTTTTTTTAAATACCCACCGTTGCTGCTGTAGCTAAAATGGAAGCCGGAATCCTACCTTACCTCAATTTTTGACTTCCACCAGGTGTTCAAATACATTTGTCCGTTTGTGTATGTTTATTGAAGGGGCATACTAGTACGGTGATATTTGTCATGTAGAGACTGAGGTGGAAAGCAGGTGAATAAATATTGAATTCAATCACCGCTGCTCCTATGGACAAATAGATACATCGGCCGTTGCCTAATTCCAATACATACAAATCTCACATTTGACCTTGTATTTCCCCCTCCTGTTTGCTTGTAGATCCAGCCAGAAAGGGTCAAGGAGAGGTGAGCGTTCTGATTCATCTCTCTGATGGGGCAAAGGCCTGTGCTTTTTATTGAAATTCCAGCAATTCTTTTGATACAGATGCCATCTCCGTTTGGAGCA